TTTTGGGGTGTCTTGGGGTGTTTTTGGGGGTGTTTTAAGGATTCTTTTTTGGGGTGTTTTTTTGGTGTTTCTGGGTGGTTTGGGGGGGTGGTTTTGGCTGGTTTTTGGGTGTTTTTTTTTTTGTCTGTCACCCTCCATCTCCCCAGGGGTGGTGAAGGTGGGTCTGGGGTTTTTTTGGGGTGTTTTGGGGGTGTTTTTGGTGGTTTTTTGGGGTGTTTTGGGGGTGTTTTTGGTGTTTTTTTGGGTGTCTGTCATCCTCCATCTCCCCAGGGCTGGTGAAGGTGGTTCTGGGTTTTTTTGGGGTGTTTTGGGGGTGTTTTTGGTGGTTTTTTGGGGTGTTTCTCAGCCTCCATCTCCCCAGGGGTGGTGAAGGTGGGTCTGGGGTTTTTTTGGGGTGTTTTGGGGGTGTTTTTGGTGTTTTTTTGGGTGTCTGTCACCCTCCATCTCCCCGGGGGTGCTGAAGGTGGGTCTGCGGGTTTTTTGGGGTGTTTTCACAGCCGTTCTCTCTCTCCCCAGGGGTGGTGAAGGTCGTCTTCATCCTCTACAACAACCTGGGGCTGTTCCTGCCCACCGAGAACGCCACCGTGCGCCTCGGGGGGGACGGGGGGCCCCGCGCCCCCCAGCTCGTGGTCAACTCCCAGGTCATCGCCGCCTCCATCAACAAAGAGTCCAGCAGGGTCTTCCTGCGGGACCCCGTGGTCTTCACGCTGCCCCACCTGGAGGTGCGAGCCCCCAGAACCCCACCCTGAACCCCAAAAACCCACCCGGAACCCCAAAAACCCCACCCAGATCCCCAAAAACCCACCCGGAACCCCCAAAATCCACCCTGAACCCCAAAAACCCACCCAGAACCCCAAAAAACCCCACCCAGAACCCCAAAAAACCCACCCTGAACCCCAAAAACCCACCCGGAACCCAAAAATCCACCCGGAACCTCCAAAATCCACCCAGAACCCCAAAAACCCACCCAGAACCCCAAAAAACCCACCCAGAACCCAAAAACCCACCCGGAACCCCAAAAACCCACCCTGAACCCCAAAAACCCACCCAGAACCCCCAAAATACACCCGGAACCCCAAAAACCCCACCCAGGACCCCAAAAACCCACCCGGAACCCCAAAAACCCACCCTGAACCCAAAAATCCATCCGGAACCCAAAAATCCACCCGGAACCCCCAAAACCCACCCAGATCCCCAAAAATCCACCCAGAACCCTGAAAACCCCACCCAGGACCCCAAAAACCCACCCAGAACCCAAAACCCCACCCAGAACCCTGAAAACCCACCCGGAACCCAAAAATCCACCCGGAACCCCCAAAATCCACCCGGAACCCCAAAAACCCACTCGGAACCCAAAAACCCACCCAGAACCCCAAAAAACCCCACCCAGAACCCCAAAAAACCCCACCCTGAACCCCAAAAACCCACTCAGAACCCAAAAATCCACCCAGAACACTGAAAACCCAGCCAGAACCCCAAAAACCCACCATGAACCCCAAAAAACCCCACCCAGAACCCCAAAAACCCCAAAAACCCCCAAAACCCACCCAGAACCCCAAAATCCCCCCCAGACCCC